GAGTGCTATTCGGTACTTTCGTGTGCTCAGATCCCAGCTATCTGGGGATGGGTTGCAAGTATATATTTTGTGTGATAAGTGGAAGGCGTATGCCTGAATTTGTGGAAGGGGTTATTTTCCTATTTAAATCCCCAGTAACCCCAGCTTACCTATCGTCGCCGTCTGAAAGTTCTGGCCTGCTCGCCTCCCAACTTCCGGGTCCTCAACAGGCATCACACTTCCGGGTCCTCAACAGGCATCGCACTTCCGGTCCCGTCATACCTTGCGGCTTCCCACCAGTCCGTTCGCACAGACACGCACAAACTAACGAACACCAGGTAAGCGGCGAGAATAGCCGCGTTCGGGATATTCACGCCGTTCAACTTTTTCTTTCGTTTATATGCAATCTCACGTAGGAGACCGCAACCACAGGTGGCAAATATACATATATATATCTTTTCTTTTACACTGAATCTTGTTCGCGCTTTTTGGTTAATCTCAGGACCACATGAATATCACACCTCCCAATCTTAGGTCTCGGTTGTCACATCTCCCTAATAAATACCCCCCCCAGTCCCTAGGGGTATCAAAGTCGGTCTAGCAGGCAGGACTACCATACAGCCCCAGGAGAAATACCACTTACTATTCTACTATGCAGCTTCCCCTAACAGGGTCGAGTCATTCAAACAACCAAGGGCACTTTGTTTTCCTTCTAATCCATTTTTCTACTCATACAAATTACACAGTAACATGCACATGTCACAATCAGAACATATTGTTACAATAATCAACACAACAATGCTTAGATTCATTTTAACTGTTCAAACATCAACAAATAAATATATTTAATTTAAAATGCACAGTGTTTAAACCCAGCCGCTTTACAGACCGGTAATACGTCTTTAAACTCCTAGTCATTATCCCCAGCCTCTTAAGCTCCAGCTCTTCATTACTTTATGTCCCCCAGTTTTATTTAGTTTTATTCTTTACAAAAAAAAAAAAAAATCCCCGGGAAGCGACTAAACACTCACACAGCTTGTAAATTCCGACACTGTGTCCACGGTCCGCACCGCCGGAGCCATGATCTGTACTAGGGACTGGAGAAGGCTTGCGGGCTTAGCCCCGGTATCTGCCTCCCTGCCGCCCCCTACCAGCCGCACACCGGCAGAGACACCTAACCGGCAGGGCAGGGGCTGGCAGTGATGTCACCGGGACACTAGAATTACAGCAGCTGAGCGGTAACGTTGCTCACCTTCCACACACTGCGCTGGGCACTGGTAGAAGTGGCAGCAGTTTAAACTGGCATATACTGCTCCTTTAAGACAAAGCAATGAATGCTGTTACAGGATGATAAAAAAAAAAGGATTCTTTGAAGAAAGATAAGTTACATTAGTCTAACCTGAGTGACTATGTTCACCCACTTTAACAATGCGGCAGTCTTTCTTGGTAGTAAAACTTAAACCCATGCTGATACCTTACAATCTGTATCATCCTATAATAACCCCTGTTATATCATGTCTGTTACTGTCACTCTTATGCTCTCACTACACGTAGCAGTCCCATGATAGGGATAATTGTACTGGTGGTTTCTCAACCTATTCTAAACTAGTAACGGTGTTATACTCAGATTGATATTTCTCCAACCATTGTACAAACCCGCTGACGATCAGCATGCATTCACTCACACAAACCCTAAAACTACGGGACGGTCATTAGGGTTGATTCGGGCAGTGAGCCGCTACCGAGTACACCCCTCATAATGTCCAGGCAAATCAAATTACCCGCACAGTATCTACTATGAGTACCATTTTAAATTACAGTTGTAATCGTTGCAACTGTTACACTGCTTCTAAATTCCGCTAAATGGATTCCATTTCATGACTAAAATAGTATGGTAGAGGGGAAATAAATAAATAAAATAAAACACGAGCCACGAGGGCCATACATACATACATACGTGCAGTGTAGTTCATACGTATCGACCATCTTGTCCCGAAGTGCTCACAGCGCACTCCAGTTACGGTCAGCCTTACAATTCTACTTTATTATCACTCGTGTTTTCATCCAATGGTATGTCCTCTCTCTCACAACTAACCGTCCCTCTTAAGTAGCAATGGCTGGCTGTCAGGTTCCTAGGTGTCCACTAGTTATCATTCCCCCTGGCTTCTTCGCCTTAGGTTAAGTGGTCCCGCGAGGCCAACACCCATCCTCATACTCGGAGGTACTACGCCCCTCGGGCCAAATCATAGTCAGTCGCCTCGCATTGTGGCATAGAGAGGGCCTCACCTGTCACTCCCATTCTGTCTTATGTTTAATTGTCACCGAGAGGCCGACACCCCGCCACAACGTTCAGTGGCCACGCTATCCCCTCGCGCCAACGCATAGGTAGAGCCTCTCAAGCCACTTGGCAATTAGCAGGGCCTCACCTGTCACCAACCTAGAGTAATCGTTTCGCTGCATTGCGGCACTAGCTAGTCAGCCAGCACACACACACACGTAGTACTTGGGGGACCGAACCTGCAAACCCCGTCATGCATAACCGTTACGTTTCATATCTGATAATCAGATCAGGTGTCCTAGCGGATTATTTCCCGCATCGTTATAACTTTAGTTTCGATGGTGAGTTTATATATCCTTACCGTAATACAAACCGTATGTCAGAACTATCAAACAAGGCAATCCAGGCTTTTAATACATCAATCACTTACGGGCTAAGGGTCTCCTACATAATTAGATATAACAGTACAAGGATGAGTACAAGGATATACATGTTTCCCCAACTTGTCACTCACTTTGCGTTCCTTTTATACCACATACACTAGGTGCCCATATCAATGTAATAGAAACCAAGATCAGCGGTTTCCTCCTACAATTGTTTCAGGCATATTGTTCTTACATATATTTTCCGTTAAATACGTATATTGGCCACACGCTGTCTTTTACGTTTACACGTGGTACATATTCAGGCCTTGTATCGGACCATAGCCAGGTCCTCAATACGTTTGGGTATATATAGTGTCTGCTTCCAGATTTTATTCATTACAGATATACTGTTATTACTCTACAGCCCATTAGGGGCATTTCAGTACATTGAGTTCTAAATTACCATACGTTGACGCATACTGTCACCTAATTATTTTGGCTACATCAATTATACAAGGCAATGCAGGTTAAAGCATTAGCAATCTAATAAAGACTGGGTAAACCAGAATTCCCACTTGTTTCATATCAGACATCAAAGCATCACTCGGCCTTCATTACGAACAAACGAATACAATTCAAATCCTTGACAGCTAACAGGGACCTGTCTCAGCACGCCTGACATTCACAAGGTTCTCCATGCGCATTCAATCATATGTTACGCTATTTAATATTACATTCATCTTACTATGTTATTTATGTTCAAAAGTACATCAGGACTGACTTTCGGTCTTGCTATCTGTTTCTCTCTTAAAAGTTACACCTATAGGCATCTTATAATACAGTTAATTACAATCCCAAGCCTATCAAGTAAACGATTGTAGGGTAGTTATTATATGACATATATTTAAGCTTAAACCACAATCAAAGATCCTTTTCAGGTTCCTCTCTTAAGAGCACATTTTCCCTACTGTTAGTCACGGTATTTCGTTTGCTCATCGGTTCGCATTGCGTCAGATTTGTCAGATACTTTTTTTTTTTCTCTCAATCCTTTTTCGCCATGGTTCTACCAGTTTTTACACATATAAGGTATTAACGCTCATCCAGAAGAAACAAGCCTGCCAAGGGTCCCCCGCAGTATACCCCGCCCTGGCCACTCCTAAAGTCCTGAGGTCAGGCCTTGCTTAAATGTAACTGAGCTCGAAGAACATTCAGTTCAGGGATCCTCTGCAGTTCAATAAGGTCTTATCATGCCTTAAGTTAGAGGTTTTTTTTTAAGCAGGTAGATTCGTCCACTAACACTAAGCAAACTTACTCTAAAGCTACGATATGGGTAAGTATTGTGTATGATTCAAGATAATAAGTGCGTTCCAGTGATAAATGGCTGCTTGCACAATTTTTGCCACTTATCTTTGAAACCAGCCTATAATACTATTAAAACTTTACCTACAGGAATTTAACATTATGTATACACCATATACCCAACAGCTCCCATTTTCTTTTATTATTCAGTAAAGATGCCGACTAGTGCCCGAGATCAAAAACTCCACAAATCATTCAATTCACTCCCTATCAACAGTAAATCTTAGGGGAAGT